GCCCACGCCGCTTCACCAGCTTCGAGCAGGTGGCGCAGCTGAGCGCCGCAGCTCGCGGTCTGGCCGCCTCGCTGCTCTTCCTGCTTCTGGTCAAGGTGAGGGCTGGGCCGGCGGGGACTGGCTGGGCCTGGGCCGGGCTGGCGGGGTTCGGTCAGCTGACCCCACTTGCCCGCAGGCCGCACAGCAGCTGCGCTTCGTGCGCCAGTGGTCGGTTTTCGGCAAGACGCTATGCCGGGCCCTGCCGGAGCTGGTGGGGGCCACCGTGGGCCTGGTGGCGCTCGCCGTGGCCTACACCCAGCTGGCCGTTCTGGTAGGTGACGGTGAGGCCGGCGGGGGAGGGTGGCGTAGCCCGGGAGGCGCCCCTCACCCGCGCCCCCTTCCCGTGCAGCTGGTGTCGTCCTGCGTGAATTCGTTTCGGAGTGCGGCCCAGGCCCTCTTGGTGCTGTGCCCTGGGTCCGGGGCTCCTGCCCTGTGCCCTACTGAATCCTGGCGCCTGTCCCCGCTGCTGTGCACGGGGCTCTGGGCCCTGCGGCTGTGGGGGGCCCTGAGGCTGGGAGCAGTCCTTCTGCGGTGGCGGTACCATGCTCTGCGTGGGGAGCTCTACCGACCAGCCTGGGAGCCACAGGACTATGAGATGGTCGAGCTCTTCTTACGCAGGCTGCGCCTCTGGATGGGCTTCAGCAAGGTTAAGGAGGTGGGTACGGCCCAGTGGGGGGGAGAGGGACGCACCCTGGGCCCAGGTGAGCCCAGGGTGCAGCCGGACTGACCGAGCCCCTGTGCCGCCCCCAGTTCCGCCATAAAGTCCGCTTCGAAGGGATGGAGCCGCTGCCTTCCCGCTCCTCCAGGGGCTCCAAGTCTTCCCCAGATGCACCGCCCCCCAGCGGGGGCTCTGACACCTCACGGCCCTCCACCTCCTCCAGCCAGCTGGACACGCTGAGTGGGGGCCTGGGCCGGCTGGGGCCACGGGGGGAGCCCGAGCCCTCGCGGCTCCAAGCCGTGTTCGAGGCCCTCCTTACCCAGTTCGACCGACTGAACCAGGCCACAGAGGACGTCTACCAGCTGGAGCAAAGGCTGCAGAGCCTGCAGGGCCGCAGGAGCACTGGTCCCCCAGCCTCCCCTCCCCGCAGCCCCTCCTCAGACCTGCGGCCAGCCCTGCCCAGCCGTCTTGCCCGGGCCAGCCGAGGCATGGGCCTGGCTACTGGCCCCAGCAGGGCTTCCCTGCGGGCTAAGAACAAGGTCCACCCCAGCAGCACTTAACCCCTGGGCCCTGGGCTCATAGCCCTTCCCTGGGGTGGGTCTGTGGCTTCACTCCGGCTTCTTGAAGGAGCCGGAGCAGACACCGCTCAGTATTAACTTCTGCCGCCCTCAAGGTCTCGGGCCAGGCAGGAGAGCTGCACGAAGGTCCCCCTGGGAGGAGGCAGCCGCTGTCTCTCTCTGGGGGGGCTCTCAGCACTTTAAAGAGGCCATGTGGGCAGCCAGGACCCAGGGTCCCCTCCCCAGCTCCCCATGGGAGGACACAGCAGTATTGGGCCAAGTGCCCAGCCTCTGAGACGCTAATTTATTACCGGAGTCCTCAGGTACAGCGGGCTGTGCCCGGCCCCACCTCCTGGGCAGACATCTCCCCTTTGCTAAGGATCCAGGCTTCGGGGAGGGAACCTGCCCCTCCCGTGGTCTTCCCCACTAAGTTATTACCTCTCCTATGCCCCTGCTGAGTGCACTCCCCTTCTGCTGCCATGTGTGTGTCTATCGTCAGTAATTTATATGGGGTTAAAATGTATATATTTTTGTACGTCGCTCTATTTTTCACTAGGGCCAAGGGCCCCGCTAGCTGAAGCAGCCCAGTGCCCACGGGCACCCACGTTGAGGGGCAGTGGGGACGGCAGAGCAGGCCTCCCTCCCGCCTGACCGGAAGGCCAGGGCCGGCCTGGGACAGGTGCTGAGAGGGGAGGCTTGTTAGAAGGGCCCAGTCCCCTCCTAGGCAGTTCTGTTTCCCACCCCCCCCAGGGGCCTTGTTCTGTGCCCGAGGCTGCGCGGCAAGAAGGCAGGGCCCAGACCTGCTGGTGTCAGGTCTGGGTGAGGAGCAGGACGAGGGCAAGAACAAGGTGGTCAGGTGGAAAGAGCCCTCCCCGGGGGCTGGCTCTTGGGGCTGGGGCAGGTGAGCACAGGACCGTGTGTGATGGCGTGAGTGGCCCAGACAGGCCCCGTACCACGGCTGGGGGGGGGGCGCAGGGGGACCTTGCCCAAGCTATAGCCTTGATTCCATCCCCACCGGACAAAGTCAAATAAACCAGCTGGCTGACTGCATCTGTGTGAGCCACGCGGGCCAGGAGGCACTGCAGCTTTATTTCATGCGCACACGTCCACGAGGGGCAGCCTCACACGAACTCTGTGAAGTCATCCACCGAGGAGATGAGGCGCTTCCGCTGGCCCGTCTCATATGTGGGCATGGGCTCTGCTGGCGCCTGAGCAGGGGCTTTGGCGTGGCCTGGGGGGTGCATCTGCATCAGGGGCAGGCTGGGGTTGGAGTAGTGAGCTTCCTCCCGGATCTGCAGGAGACGGGAACTTCAGCAGCCAGCCCCGAGGCGGGGGGGGGGCACCCACCCACCACAGGGGGTCTGGGTCCCCTCTTCCCTACCCGGTGGCGGAGCCGCTTGATGTGGCGGAGCCTGGCGATCCACTTGGAGGGGTAGATGTCGGTGGGGTTGGAGCGGCTGTGATGTACCTGTGAGGCCATCTGGGGGGGGGGAGGGGAGAGTGGTGAGACCCCGTGGGGTCGCACCTGTGGGCCCTTCCTACCTGCCCCCTGGGCCATCCTCTCCGCTCACGTTTGCGTGCAGAGCCATCTGACGGGCCACAAAAGGCAAGTTGCGGTCTGACACGATCTTGGCCACGCTGGTGTCCACGAGACCCTCCATGTCTGGGGAGAAACAGAGCTCACCCCAGGGCTCAGGGTCCCAAGTGCCTCCCCGCCCCCCCTCACGCCCCGCGGCTCACCTTTCCTGCACTGCAGGGTCACCAGGTTGCACTCGTAGTCCAGGGGGGTGATGATGACATGGACGAAGTTGAACTGGCCCTGCCCGGGCGAGAGCAGAGGTCACCTGGCCCCGAGGACCACTGTCTGCCACTTCCTCCCCCACTGGGGCGGGTGGCTTGCTACCTGAACAAGCCTGGGCTCTGCTCACACCCTCCTTCCCACCGGACCTAGGGGCACAGCTGCCTTCCCTCTCAAAACCCCACCTACTCCACATCTGGCTCCCAACCACTGAATCCACCCGAGTTCGGGTTCAGTCATGACTGCAGATAGGTCCGCGGCCCCTGTCCTCCCCTCCCTGTGGCTCCGGCTGCCACCTGCCTGTCACCCAAGAGCAGCACAAGGAGCTCGACATGTGCCCAGCCCCCAGCTTTGCACCCCTGCCTGCTCCTGGCTTCTGTCCAGTGACCTCGCCCGAGGCTCCCCGCTGTGTTCAGAACACACCCACAAACTTCTGAGCACCGGCACCCCCGCCGCTGGGGCCGCCCCGGGCTCCCCACTCACCGGCCTCACAGCTGTCTGGCATATCCCCCCCCACACCCCGTGACAAGTCTCCCGGGGTCAGCCCGCCTCCCGCTGTGGGGCGTCGAGCCCTAGCGGCGTCCTCTGAGAAAGATGGTGACACAGAGACCGACCCCAGCTGCCGTGGGTACACAAAGGAGGTGCCGGGCAGACAGACTCGGAGCCCCTCCGGAGACACAGAGCACCTCCTGGGCACCCCACAGCCCGCTAAATACGCGTGCACAGCAACTCCGCGACTCCCCACGACGCCACCGCTGGTGCCCCGCTTCCGTGGGAAACCGATGGGGCCACTGTCCCCGTCCTTGTTCCAGAGAAGGATGCTGGCTCCCAGGGGGGGTCTGCACGGGAGGCCGGGGCCCCTGCTGCCAGCACGCTGACCCTGCCCGGGCCCGCCCCCAGCACCCCCACTCACTCTGATGGTACCCAGTTTAAAGTCCTCGCCGGAGTCGTTGTACACAATGGACACGAAGTCGTTGCCCAGATGACGCTTCTTGTCACAGCGGTGCTTGTCCACATCCTTGGTGGGCATCAGGGTGGCAATGTGGAAGACAGCTGCAAGGCGGACCCGGCCAAGCACTCACAAGGGCTGCTCGGGGCTCGTGTCGGTGGGGCCGGGGAGGGGGGCGGGGTGGGGGGACACCTCTTGGCGTCCCCAGAGGCTCTCAGGGCCTGGCCGGCTGGCAGCACAACACCCCTCTCCCCGAGGGCAGAGCTTCTGGAAGGACAGCTTCCGGAAGCAGAGCCGCCAGCCCCCTCGCTGCCTGCACGCCCAGACGGATGAAGGCAGGCCCTCGGCCCCGCCCGTGGCCTGACGGCAGACAGTGACAGCAGCGTGGCCGGGCGCGTACCTTGCATGATGTCGTCGTGCCAGCAGTAGGTGAACTGGCCGTCCTCCCCACACACATCCAGACCCCCCAGGTACACCTTGTCAGGCTGGCAGTCCTTGAGCTCGATGAGCTTGCCCAGGCCGGTCAGGAACTCCGTGTACCTGTACGAGCCGTGCTCGTTGGACAGGATGGCCAGCTCACTGTCGCTCTGTGGGCAGGGAGGAGCACGCTGGCAGCCGCCCCTCCCCCCACGGCTCCCAGGGGCCCCGAGTCTGTGCAAGGCCGTCCTGCACTCCCAGCCAATGTGCTCCACGGGACCTTCCCAACACATTCAGAAGCCCGGCAGTCCTCGGAATCCCAGCCCCAGGCCCCAGCCCTGCCCCTCACAGGGACCGTCAGCACCCGCCTTCCATCGGTTCTCACACACAGCAGCCAGAGGGATGCTCTGGACGCTTAGGCCGAGTCACCTCGAACCCTTTGCTCAGAACCATTCACGGCCCGCCCACCTCCCTGGGAACGGCCCACGAGGCTGTCCACGTCCGCTGTCCACATCCGCCCTCCCCTTTACTTCCCTGCCCCACCTCCCATCCCCCACGTGGTGGACACGGCACCAGCCACCCGCACCTGCCATTCCCGCACAGGACGCTCCCGTCCCTCGCTTCCTCCATGCCTGGATCCCCAATGCGAGGATCACACCTGCGGGATCCCAGCACCTGCCGCCACCTCCACAGTGCTTGGCACTCCCTTGGGCACCACGAGCTCAAACACTCACCTGTCATTCCTGTCGTGTCCCTGGCACCGGAATGGTACCTGGCATAGGGCTCCTCGAGCACCGGCCACGTGGCAGCTCATGCAGTGACTGAGCTCTGTGGCGGACCAGGGCGCAGACCCTGACCCCTACCCCAGGCAGGAAGGCCACACAACTCCACCCTCGCACCCAGGAGCCTCACCTGGCCTTCTCCCACGTACAGGACGGCAATCTTGTGCGTGTCGTAGGATGGAATCTGGTCGAGAAGCTGCACTGACCGCTCGAAGGACTGTAGCCACAGAGCCCTGCCTGAGCTTGGGTGGAGGCCGTCCCCTGCCACCAGCCCTACCACCAGCCCCAGCCGGATGCCCTTCCAAGGAGGGCTCTCCTCACGCGGGTAGGTCACTGTAGGCTGCCCCAGGGAGCCAAGGCTGTACCTTCCGCAAGCCTGGGCTATGGCCACCACCGCTAAGAGTTAGGGCATCCCACGGCACCCCCCACCCAGGCTCCAGCGGGACCCGCAAGGGAGAGAAGGCACCCACCCACCTCATTGGGTAGAAGGATGGGCTTGTTGGACTCGTCACCAAAGAAAGGTGAATGGTAGAGCTGCAGGAACACAAAGCTGCAGGAGGAAAGACAGGGAGGGCTGGGCTGGGAGCTGCGGGCCAGGTCGGGGTCACGGCCAGTACCGTCCGCCCACGCACAGGGCAGCAGACCTGAGCCTCTCTTGTGGCTCCAACCAGCCACAGGGCCGAGGCCACGTGACCTGCAGCCCAGCCTGTGGCAGGGCCCCTCGGGCACCACGTCCCCATGGGGACCATCCAAAAGCTCCAGCAGCTCCAGCCCCAGAGGGCAAGGCTCACCTGGGATTGATGCCTGGCACCTTCTCAGTATTGGAGGCCCCAGCTCTGCTCTTGAAGGCGTCCCTCTCTACCCTCTTGCCTCTGCGTGATGGGGCCGAATCAGAGATGGTGTAGCCTCTGGGCCGCAGGCCACTGGGGGAGCGGGGGCAGCTGGAAGGCAAGGGACCCTCGGGCTGCGCGGGGCCCCGGCCCTGGCTCTCTTCGCCTGGGGCTGACCAGGAGGCACCTGCCCCGTCCAAGATCCCGGACTGGGACCGGGCCTTGGCCTCAGGGCTCAGCCGGCCAACATCAGTCTTGTCCCCAGGGTCCCCAAGTATGTCCTGCAGGGTCTGCAGCTCAGGCGAGGAGCTGGACTTGCTGAGGGGCTGGGAGGGCTGGAAAGAGAGCTCCACAGAAGGCCGGGCACCCTCGGAAGAGACAGCCCGCTCGATGGGGATTCCTCGAGCCGCCAGCTCCTCTGCAGGGAACTTCTCCTCTTGGCTGGAGCTTGAAGATGACTGCCAAGAAGGAGTCCACGGGACCTCCGTCAGGAGATACCAGCGAGCACACCCAGGGGTTCACTTGGAGGCGATGAAGCCCCCCCCCACCCCCCGGCAGGGCCACAGAGCCCCTCAGCAGCAAGCGGACGGCTGCATCCTCTCCCCCAGGATGGCACTTGCCGGTGCCCCACACCGAGCAGGGAACACCGACGACCAGCAGCTGTCAATCTGCAGGGCCCGCTGGGGAACCCCAGACTGTCCACGCAGCACTGACTAGAAAAGATAGCTAGCCTTTTTTTAAATGACAAGGGAGGCGGGGCAAAAGACTTGCCAAAGTTCTAAGCAAGTCCGTGCGCGCCGCGGAGCCTGGAGCAAGGCCCTGTCCCTCCTCCCACAGTACCCTCCTCCCGCTCCCAGGGGTGAGCACCCCCAGGGCACCTCGGGCAGCTCCGGCGCCCCAAGGCACTCACCCTGCTGTAAGCCTCAGCGCGGTCACTGCGCCGGTCTGTGCCTAGCGTCGCCTCAAAGTCCTCCAACTCCATGGGCTCCGCGGACAAATGAGTCTCGCTTGGGCTCCCCTCCTCCAGAACCACCGCCGAGTCTGGGAGGACACAGATGGGGCTCCTAGGTGCTGGCCCGGCCCCTGGGAGCTCACATGGCCTCAGAGGTACCAGCCTCTCCCCAGCAAGAGAGCGCAGTGGGTCCCGCCACAGCCTCACTCCAGGCCTTCCTTGCCTGTGGCTCTGAGCCACCCACACCCCATCAAGTCAGCTGCAGGAGAGCACGGAGGGGCGCGGTATGGCCCCCATCACAGGGCGTCTCCACAGGCTCCCAGAGTGGGGATGAGGGGGGCATCTGGCCCCTGGAATCCGCATCCCAGGGTCCACAGAACCCGCCCCTGCTGCTCAGTGAGGTAGACGGGCAAGGGCAGCACAGACCCCCACCAGGGAAGAGCCCCCATCTAAGACGGGGCCTCAGCTCAGGAGGAGCGGTGGGCCCAGACCAGCTCCCAGGAACAGGCGGAGGCCGTAATCCCTCCTTGACTGGACCCGAGGAAAAGCCTGATGCGGGAGAAACCCCTGTGCGCACACACAGACGGGGAGCCCGTTCCGGAAAGCAGAGACGCGCCATCGGAGCCCAAGCGAAACCCGGAGCCAGGAGCGCCAAGGAAAGGCCACGACGCCCCAAAGCAGCATTTCCTGTGCCATTGTCAGGACGGGGGTGGGGGTGAGAAGCCACCGAGAGTTAGCACAGCCCGCGGCCGCCCCGCATACAGCCCTTGCACACGCGCGGTCTGTTAACCGCCTGCCAGAACCCGTCTGCTCGCTGCCCTTTCCGAACCAGCTCCTGCCCACACGTGGGGGCCCCAGGTGGGCCAGAGGGCTGTGCGGGTCAACCCCCCGCCGTCGCCAGGGCTTGGAGGTAATGGGCCAGCCCATGATAAAAAGCAGACACAGCCCAATTTGTGAGTTCACCAAGCCAGTCAGACCACCAGAGGCCAGGGCAAGGTCAGTCCGGCTGAGCCGCAGGGCCAGGCTCGCCCCGAAGAGCATCTGTGGCTCAGCGGCCCGACGTCACCTCCCGAGGCCTGAAGAAGGGGCAGCAAGAGCCCATCCGGCGGGGCACAGAGCTCAGCCGGCAAGGGCACAGGGCAGAGGGGCCCACCGGCCAAGCGCAGGCACTCTGCACAGACGTCCTCATGCAAGTCGGGGCCCTGCATCTGGGGGGTGAGGAGCGGCACCGGCAGAGTCGAGGAGGGATGACCGCATGAGGGACGGCGGGAGCAGCAAGTACGAGGCAGAGCAAGGCTCTGCGGCAAACGGCGCCTTCCTTAAAGAGATGTACGAATACCTGCCCAGGAAATGCTCCTGTGCAGCTTTGCTTGGCAACTGGACTGGTACAGGGAGGAGAAAGAGGCCACTGCAAGGAAGACCGCGCGCGGCCGGTCAGCAGCAGCACAAACTGCGCACAGTCGAGCAGAGAGGAAAGGCAGCGCTAGTCCCGCACAGAGCCCGAGCCTGGAGGGAGAGAGCGGAGGGCCAGCGGCGGCCGGCCGGCAGCGGGCGGCTCCCGGCTCTCCGCGCTGCTGCAGGGGGGCGGCCCTCCTCCTCACCAGCAGAGGTCCTGGGCCTCGAAGCGCCACGTGGGGCCACAGGGAAGGCCGGAGGGTGGCCCGGAAGGAGCGCACCAGCCCCGCCAGGCAAGGGCACAAGAGCGCGCAGGCAGGCTTAGCTGTGCTCGGTGCATCCAAACCCAGACCCAAGCGCAAGTGCGGCTGCCCTCCTGGGGCCACGGGCACGCCGAGGACAGTGCAGGGCACAGGGCGTGCAGGGCTCTGAAGTGTCCACCCTGGAAGCACCTGCCTGCCCCTCTGCGAGCGGCACATCTCTAAAGAAGGGGCCCCTTCCGTAGGAGCCGGCCCCGCTCCTGAACGCCAGGCTGTGCCAGCGACAAGGAGAGCTCAGGGAGCTGGCTCCAGCGCGGCCCCACGGGGCGGGGGGCGCAAAGCTGCCTTCCCGCGGCACTCACCCGTGTTAGACCGCGGGGGCGGAGGGGGCTTGGCCGAGCCCGCCGCCGGCACCGACAGCGACTTGTACAGAGCTGTGTCGCGACGCTCCTTAAAGCGCTCGGCGGCCATGAGCGCGTTGGACAGCTCCTGCAGGGGCATGTTGTTGATGTCCGAGGAGAAGGGGCTGAGTGGGTTCTCCAGGCTCATCAGCCAGCTGGTGTTCCCTGGGGAGGCACACAGGCAGCACCCTTTAGGCATCCAACCGCCCCATCCCCTCCCGGAGCTCCCGGGGCAGCCCATCCCCCCGCCCCCCGCCACTGTCCTTAAGGGCACGTGCCCGGGCTCAGCAGGGTTCCTGCGCTCAACCAGGGAGTGACGAGGAGGGGGACAGGCCCCAGGCAAAGGCATGCCCACGGCTTGCCCCAGACCCCCAGGTTAGGGCAGCCCCCGTGCAGCGGTCACCCGCCTCATGCATGAGGAGGGGTCTCAGCGCACACCACTTTCCACCCCAGGGCAGCTCCTGGGTCCTGGCCAGGCTTGGCGGAGGCATCTCAAAGCCCCAGGCCTCTCCATGGAGAAGCCTGAATGGGGGGCCTTCTGGGCTCTGTCCCTCTCCCCATAAAGCCCAGGAGCCCACACTTTGAATCAACCTTCCACACTGAATGTCTTCCAATCCCGAGCATCTCACCCAACCCGACCCACCTCCTCTTGCCCTGCCTGGGCCTCCTCATCCAGTCTCCCACCTGCCCCCTGCCTGTTCCCCGCCGGGAGCCAGGACCCGCAGCCCTTCTGCCCACACTCGAGGCTCCTCGGGGCCTCCTATCCAGCCCTCTCCTGTCACCGCTCGCCACACTGTGCCCAAAGCAGGTCTCAGGCCCTGGGCCTTGGTTTAAGTTTTTGCAATACCCATTACAGGCAGAGTCGTGTCCAACAAAATCCATGTATCGGACTCCTGACCTCCAGCAGCTCAGGAAACAGCTCATTAGGGTAAAACAGGGCCACAGAGATGGCCCCTAATCCCCTGAGCCCTTCCAAGAAGAGACAGGACACAGACCCACAAGAGTGACCCAGGACTTCCAGGCTCTGGCGGACGAGAATACAAGAATGTATCTGTGGCTGAAGGCCCCCAGGCCATGGTGCTCTGTGAGGGAGGCCCTCCCGCTTAGCCGCCCGGGTCGCCCCTCGCCACTCCCCTTGGCACTCAGCTCAGAAGTCACAGAGCAGAGGCTCGCTCGGCCCTGTGTGCCTGCCACTCACTGCCGGGTACCTCAAGCCCTGGCAGAGGTCCCTGCATGTTGAGCGCAGGCCCCTCCGTACCTGTGGGCCTCCGGACCAGGATCTCTGCCCAGCCCTGGGTCAGCAGGGGGACGTAGGCTGCCAGGCTCGTCTTCTCCTGTACTGGGAACTGGGTACCAGCTGACGCCCTCTCAGACTTGCTGGCGAGTGCTGTCTGTGCACCCGGGGAGGTGGGGCCACCCGGGAAGTGGGAGGCTGGAGTGTCCAGGGCACCAACACGAAGGCCGTGGCCCCCTGAGGAAGAGAAGGGCAAGAGTGCCAGTGACCACCACCTGCCCAATGCAGAGCCACCAGCCCGGACCCGGCTGTTCCGCCCAGGGCCCGGCGACCGAAGGCAGCTCAGCTCTCCCTGGGTGCGGCCCTTGTACGGGGTCGGGCTCGGTGGACCCAGGGCAGTAGGAAGGGGCCACGGTCGGACCACATCTCATTCCAGCTGCAGCAAAGAGAAGCTCCAGGGGCAAGCTGGGCCGAGAACCAGGGCAGCCAACGGTTCCCAGGAAACACTGGCCACGAGGAATAGACCCATGGCCACGAGGGGGCCTCAGGCCAGCTGTAGAGAAGGCACGCCCCCCACTACACAGTCCCGTGGCCAGGGCTCACAGAGACAACACCCCAGTTGGTCAACCACCTTGTCCCCAGGCTCCGAGCAGTCCCTGCGAGCATGCGGACCCACAGGCACCTGTGAAGGAGGCAGGGTGGGGCCCAGGCTCACCGGACATGGAGCGGACCCGGTCCCGGGCCCTGCGGCACACCTGCTGCCCAGCCTGGGACTCCAGCTTGGCAGGCGCCTCCTTGGTCTGTCTCACGTGCGTGCCAGGGTCCGAGCTGAGGGCAGAAGGGTCCGTGTGGAGCGTGACCGAGGTGCCTGGGCCCAGGACGGCCGCTGTCAAGGCCTGCCGGGCAGGGGGTGGAAGGCACAGTCACCTCGACTCGGGGCCACCCTGCAGCTCTCCTGAGTCCAAGCCCAGCAGCGACCGGGTCCCAGTCCCCACGCTTGTTGTCACGGTAACAAGCTTGTTCCCAACCAGCCAGGTTTTGGTCCTGCCGCCAGCCAAGAGGAACTCGCCCACAGGCGACCTGAGAAACAAGAGCGTCAGCCGACACCTCACCCACCGTGGGCTCTCTGAATGGGCATCTTGGTTTCAAAGGTACGCGGACTGAGGTGGGCCCTGGTCCCCAGAAGAGTGGGGCCCCACGATGTGCAGAGCAGCCTGGCCGGGGCCTCGCCTGCTGCCACCGCTGCCAAGTTCGGTGACAGAAGCCGAGCCAGGCGCTGGCCTCCCGCCCCGGGGCCCGGCCCGCACCTCTTGGGAACCGCTGTGAAGTTGGAGAACACGTATCTGGCCATCATGTCCAGACATGTTTCCGTGAGCTCCAGGTGGAGATTTTTCAAGTTGTCATCAGCCTGGGCCATCGAATTCTCGTCTGCAGACCCCAAGCTGGCGCTGGTGAGGGACGTCTGGATCCTGCTGGAGGGAGGGGCCCCCGCGAGGTCAGGGACCAGTCAGGGCGACTCATCTCCCACCAGGGGCCAAAGCTCGAGGCATGCAAGTGCTGGGAGGGCTGCGCCCACACACCCCCCACCAGGGCGCACGGCCAGTCGAGCCACAGTGTGGCAAACCGCGAGGACACATCGTCCCAGAAAGAGGAGGAGCAGGGCCTCACAGGAGAGACCCAGGCCCACTCGTCGGAGCAGAGGCTCAGGAGACAGGGTAGAGACCGACGTCCCCTCACCGAAGCACAAGAGAGTTAGGGGATGGCTTGGTGGCAGAACAGTTTAGTCATGCAGAGACACAAAGATTGCATTCTGCCCACAGGGCCACCTCCCGATGACAGGGAGGGTCTGGGCTTTGTGTGCCGCTCTTCCCCCTCAACTCAGGCCCCCGGGGCCCCACAGGGACCCAGCGACCAGGAGAAGAGGCTCATGCAGGTTTAATTCTGATACGAAATTTCACCGACCCTTTGCCATGTTTGGCTTGTATTAAAGAATTTGCTAGAAAAGAGCTGAAAGCTTCGCTGTCCCCATACCCCCAGTCAAACCCCACTCGGCAGAGGCCAGCCTGAGGCTGGAGCCTAAGCCAGGCAGCGGTGAGGAGGTGGGTCTCCGAGCTTTGGACTCGGAGGCCTGAAGGGACTTCCTGGGGAGGACACAGCCCCCCACCCAGCTCAGTGCAGCCTAGCCTGGTCGGCGCAAAACAGTGACCCCCAGAGCCCACACCTGCACTCAGACACGGCAGGGGGGAGTGACCGAGGCCGCGCCCCTCGACAGTTCAGGCCTCCCCAGCCCCCGCCTCCTCCCAGGCTGGCCCCCACCCCTGCTGCTCTGTACAGAGCCCCGCCCCACCATTCCCTTTCAGCTACAACAGAAAGCAGCCCTCTACTAAAAGAAAGCTCAAGATTAAAGTCCACTTAAGAGGATAGGAAAGCCAAACCCTAGAATGCGTTTCCTCCCCCAACCTGCGTGGGCGCCGCTTTAATATGCGAAGGCCCCTTACCTCCGGGGACAGGCCTGCGGGTAGCTGCCACCGGACACCTGGCTTTCTCAGAGCTACAGCCCTGCTCCAGGCTCCCAGGCCAGCCTCTGAGGAGGCCATGCAACCAGCCCGTGCTCGGACGAGGCTTGGGGACAGAATGCAACCTTTCCACCCCTCACCTCCAGGCTCCCCTGGACCAAGGGCTGCCCCTTGGGCTCTCCTCCAGCTCCGGCCAGGGAGGGCGTGGGCAGGCGACGAGCTCATGCAAGCAGCCCCATGCACCGCCCCCCGGGCACTCCCGCCTGGCAGGGCCGCCTCGCGGGCCCTGCTCCAGGGCCTGAGTCCCCCGCCCGACGGAGCCCACTACCTGCGGACCACATGTTCAGACACACTGATGCTGCGGCACCGGAAGGCCTCGGCTGCAGGGCTCTCCTTGAATTCTTTCACGGGTGGAGAGTTATTCAAGCCTTGTTTGGGGGGTCTGGCTATCCTCAAACTACCAGGTGAGGAAGGAAGGCCCAAGCCCCAGAGAGCCCAGCTCCCGGGAGGGGAGAACAAGCCATTGGAGGGAGAAGGAGGAAAGGTCACAGGCCACAGGGTCAGGATGGAGAGCCCGAGGGTGAGATGAACAAAAAACCATGCCAGAGGCCAGTTAGCAGGGGGAAGAAACAGAAAATAAAAATGCATGAAAATACATGTCATAAACGTGACTGAGAAAAAGTCAGGTTTCACGCATGGAACCAAAACAAAGAACATTAGTGCAAATTAAACATGTATGGAGCGCTATGCACGGCAGATTCCAGGCTGTGCTGACCAGGCGCCCCACCCACCCCGCTCAGGGGCCGGGACGCCCCAAGGCCCTGAAGGTCACCGCTCAAAAGGCTGGTTCTTAGCTCAAGGCCCCTGGCACCCAGCTACTGGGAGCTTGAGAAGCCAGCTTTTGACTTTAGGTCACGCTGACCTGGTCATTCTGGAAAATGCCGTATCCCCACCAAGGGAGAACTGAAAAGCTTGGGCGGGAAGGCGGGGACAGAAAGAGGAGTCGCCGTTCGTAGGAGATGCAAACAAGACACGAGGCCTAGCACAGTTCTCTCAGATCTGGCAAAAGCGGCTGTGACGGGGTCCAGAGGAGCATGGCCCCTGTTCAGCAGGGGTGGAGAGCAAGCTCGGGAGGACGGGCAGCCCCGGCCCGAGACTGGGCTGACCATAGGGCCTCGGAGCTCCACCCCAGCCAGGCCAGGGATTCGGCCTCTCGAGAGCTACCGCTGCCCTGACGCAACCCTAGGCCCATCCGGTGGAGCCGGGCCCAGGCGCCCTACAGCTACCATCCCGATTCCCAGCTCTGCGAGTCTGCACTCAGGGGCTCAGGCAGGCCTGGCCACAGTCCAGCACATGGGCTCTGCGACACCGCAGGCAACGCGGGCCAGCTGGGTGGGCAACAGCTTGCTCCTCCAGCTACATGAGGGCGCTAAGGGCCTCCACAGGCCCTGCCTCTACGCCAGGACCCCCTGGTGCCCAGCACAGTCTGAAAAGGGACATCCCCCAGCCACATCCCAGTGCCGCCGGCCGGCCTCGGGGCAGCAGGCCAGCCCAGACCCTATGTGCACCACGCCGGTCACAGGTCACGCTCGCAGACCCGCCCCGCTGCGCCCCATTCGCACCGCAGGCCCGCACCTCTTGGGCCTCTCGTTGAGACTGGTGCTTCGAGCTCTGAAGCTGTCCTTCTCAGGGGTGTCATCGAAGGGCAGGAGGACGTTGGAACGCAGGCCCTGGCGGAGTGGAGCAGACCTGAGCCATCGGCAGGGGGACTGACCCCCCTGGTTCTTCCCTCCGTGAGCCTGCCTGCAGTGCACCGCATCCCAGCAGGCCACGCTCGGCAAGCGCGGCACCTGACGACGCCCACTTCTGGCTCCCGACATCTCCACGCCGCAGCCACAGACAGCCAACGGCAAAGCGGGTCCCACCCTAACTATGGGTTTGGCCTCCGCTGGCCTACCTTAGTGATAAAGGGAACAAAATCCTTCCGGAAGGGCAGGCGGCATCTAATGAACCACATGGCTATAACGTGATGGGCCAGGCACACGATGTACTGATTAAACCTGCAAGAAGAAAGGGAAGTGAGGCAGCTCTGATTGGGCCCCGAGGCCGAGCATAGAAGAGAGGCCCCAAGGCCACAGGCCCATCGGAGGTCAAGGACCAGCATGGCTCTCGGCTGCAAGAGGCCTCAGGCTGGCCCAGGCCGTGGGCGGGAGGGACGGGCCAGCACTCACTTGGAGGGATTGGTGTAAGGCAGGGAAATGGCAAAGACACTCGCGTACTGCTCAGCTGCGAAGTTCCGGTAGAGGTGGGGCAGCCGGGCCAGAGCTGCAACAGGAGGGCACAAGGGTGAGGGGGCGCGGGCGGGCCGGGCAGACACAGGCCCACGCCTGCCGTTGCCAGGGGCCTGTGCTACTCCTGAAAGCCAGCGCGGCCACACTGACCTAAGAGGGCTGCAAAGGACTGAAGGTCGCAGCCCCCTTGAACATGACCTTCCCTTGACCCTTGGCTCTCTATTCCAAGGGTTAGTAAACTATGGTCCCCAAGGCCAAATCCAGCCAACGGCCAGCACTCGTGTGACCCATGAGCTAAAGATGGCTTTTACGTCTTTAAAAGGCTGTAAATAAAAAGAATGTGCAGCAGAGGTCCTACGTGTCTCTTTGCAGAAGCACTGGTGGCCCGGCTCTGCTCCCATCACCGCCCTGCTGAGGGCCAGATGCGCACTAGGGTACTGGGAACGAGGGGGTGAGTGGGGCAGGTGAGCAGGGCACCCTGAGCTCCTGGAAGCCCCTCCCTGCTGTGGTGTGTGTCCTGAGGGGAAGCGAGAGGAGGCTGTGAGAGCCCAAGTGCAGGGACCCGCGTCCAGCAAGAGAGAGGCTTCTGGGCCATTTAAACTGACACTGAGTATAAGAATGGAGCCGGCCACTGGAAAGCCAGAAAGGAAAGCATTCAAGGCTCAGGGGCAGGAAGTGCAAAGGCCCTGAGGCAACAGAGGATGGCACACCCCAGGTGCTCCATGGAGTTGTGTCCCAAGAGAGGCGGCAAGATGAGGTCAGCAAAGCCAGCACGAGTGACAGCCCCAACCCCGAGGGTCCGCCCCACACTCACATGTGCACTTGCTCGCACACAGAGACGGGAGGGGAGCCAGACGCTTACTTGACAGGAACTCGAGGAGTGGAATGGCCATGCTGGCTGTGGCTGAGATGTGCGTGAGCTTCACGACCAGGACGGGAAGCGCCTTGATGATGATGTCGGGCATCTCCACACTGCAGATGGCCAGTGCCACGACGCACTGGCTAGCACAGCGGTAGATCAGGCCTTGCTCCAGGCAGTACACCATCTCCCGCTGTGGGGCAGCATGGGTGCCTCAGACCCAGCCCGCCACGCCCCCGCCCCTGCCCACAGACAGGTCTCCCCTCACCCACTCCGGAATGTTCTACAAAAAACAAGATCAAGGCTTAGCAGGGTTAGCTGCCTCATCCCAGGTCCCTGAGCCCCTAACCAGCACAGCACCAGGAGCTGAGCCCTCTTGAGGTGACCGGACAGTGGGGCAGCTGTGGTCAGGCACTCCCTGATGCTTCCTGCCCACCAACAGTGGCCGGCCGCCCCGGCGCCTCAGCCCATCCTGGAGCCAGAACGCGCTGGGCCCATTACCTCTTTAGTTATGCGCCCCATCCCCCCACCGGTTGGCCTTATGACGGGAGGTTCTGCCTGACACAGCAAGGCCACCAGGCCCACTCAACTCCGGGCGGCCTCCCACGTGAAGACGCCATGCCGTGCCCAGCAGGAGACAAGTGCAGCTGGGGCCATAGCCTCTGGGCAAACCCTGTAGCTCAAGGCCCCACAGACCACTAAGTTTCCCGTAGCCAGCCCCATCCCTCAGACACACTCCAGGCTCCGGAGGTCCTAGGGACACCTTCAGCCCAGGCGGCCAGCTGCCCAACAGGGCGCGGCGAGGAAGAACCAGGCCAAGCGGCACAGGAGCGCCCGGAGGCGGGGCAGCGGACGGGCGCAGGGCACCAGCTCCAGACATCGCTGCCGTTGGCTCCGAGCAGCCCAAGTCTAGCGCAGGCCCCTCTCCCTGCTGGCTGGGACCCCGAGGGCACTAGCCGACCTCTCCAAGACTTCTGTTCTCTCACCAAAGACGGCCGGCTGACCAAGAATCATTGGGACTCTAATGGACGTGGTGGACGTGCCCAGCAGCGCGATATCAGGGAGCTGCTGTGTGCCCGCTGATGGCAGAGGCGCAGGCAGATGGAAGTCAGGCGCCCTGGGCCCCGCTGCCAGCCTCTCAACACAGGCCCAGCGCTCGTCCCGAAGCCAGGCAACGCTCCATAGAAAGAAAAGATGCCGCCGCGTGTGGGAGGGCAGCAGAGGGCCCAGGCCCCCCGGGTGATGCGGAAAACGTCCGGCCGGGCTGGCTGACGCAAACATCCTGCGGAGCAGGCTCGCCTGTCCCTCTCCCACCGGGTACCTGTCTGGTTTTGTCCAAGTAATTATGGTAAGAGATCAGCGCCGTCAGCACGGGAACCACAGCCAGATGCAGGTCGGTTCTGGAGAACCCTTCTGGGGTGCCTCGAAGCCGCTCCAGGGTTCTGGGACCTGAAAGCTGAAGACCAGGGCTCAGGTGGCAGCACGCCCGGCAGCGAGGAGAGGGCGAGTGCTAGGTGGCCAAGAGCCCGGGGGGGGGGGGCCTTCCTACATCCTTCTCTGGTCAAGGGTCTGCCTTTTCAGACGTGGGAGCATGCCCACACCCAGTGGCCAGGGACAGACAAGAGACGGGGCGCACGTGTCCCAGAAACCCTGGTGAGGAAGAGAGGGGAAAGGAGTCAGGACAGCACACTCAGATGGTGAGTTCAAGCCCTTCACGGAGATCTCCGATTTCCTGCCCCCTGAGCAGGGAAGGGAGGACGGGGCCTCAAGGGCAGGATCTGCACTGCAGATAGGGGTCTGTGTCTGAACGGGACTGCCCTCTCATGCGTCCATACGTGACCTCCCAGGACCTCGCGGGCGGAGCAGGAAGGCACTAGAGGTAGCCCCACCGCGAGGGGCGGCATTACCACGGAGCAGAGGGCGGAAGACAGCTGGTCGACACTGCACGGAGACGTGAAGATGAGCACCTTGTAGCGCAGGGACTCGGGCAGCTTGCTGAGCACGAGCTTCAGCACCTTCCAGTCCGCCTCCTGCAGGAAGAGCGGCCGCTCAGGGGGCGGTCGCGCCCTACAGGGGAAGACGCTCTCTCAGAGCCTCAAGCTGTGTGTGCAGCCAGGCAGCTGCAAGGCCTCTGGACCCCCTCTGTCCCCACAGGAACACGTGTTCCTCTGAGAAAGTTCCCTGCTGTACATCAGCTGCACCCTCCAGATGCCAGGCTGAGCGGGAGGCCCAGGCACAGCCAGTAGCGCCTCTCTGCCCTGAGCTGGCCCTGAATTTCCCACACCTGCCCCACCCTCCCCACGTGCCCGCCGGTGACCCACAGGCTGCCTGCCCAGGACACTGATGCCCATCCAGGGCACCATGAACGCACAGCAAGAGAAAAGCCCATATCCTAACTCCAAGAGAAAAGCAGCACGTGTTCCTGAATAAGCACAAGCCCAAGAACCCGCTCCAGGACCAAAATCCACTGAGGGCCACCGCAATGAGGAGGACGTGGTTGTGGCTCCCACTAGAACTTGCCTGGTGAGTCCTCCCCACCTCATCGGGGGAGACCACAGCCCATAAGTGACACCAATGGCCGTGAGTCCTGAAGGCCTTTCCCCAGATTGAGCCTGGGACTCAGAGGCCTTGAAACTCTCACAGGAAGTGCCCGACAGCCCCCTTCGGTGCCAACGCCTGGTGCCCCTGGCGAGGAGAAGCCGCTTCCCTGCATGTGGCCCTCCAGGGCTGACCTAGGCCAGCACAGGCTGCCCAGCCCCGTGGCGGCACACCACTGACCACGTGGCCTCTCTCGCCAGCCCCTGTGCGGGAACAGGTCTCCACCCTGCCCCTCCGCGGTGCGGCCCCAGCTACGTCTCTGCCGGCACCTACCCTACCTCCAGGCTCTGCTTGTCCTGCCCCTGGAACCTCTCCTGCCTTTCAGGGCCTCACTCGGCCCTCCAGGTGCCCCCAACCAGAGGTGACTGCACCCCCCTGATTGCACACAGCCCGTCTCTGCCTCCACCTGATGCACGTCATCCAATGACTCGTTATCCCTCTACACACCTTCATCTTACACCAAAGCCACCTCCCAGAGGTGGGAACACGTCCTCAGCTCCATGCCCAGCTCCACATGACGGGCCACACACGGCTACAGATGGTTACAGACCCGCCATAGGCATGGGGCGGCAGCGCGCATGCCAGCAGCGGACCCCCGATGTGGCTGACACGAGGACCGGAACTGTGCCCGGCGCGGCAGAGGGACCAGCCGGCTCACCTGCTTCAAGCACTGCAGGAGGACGCGGAAGAGCAGGGAGTAGGGCAGAGAGCCGAGCCGCACCGCGGGGCCTGCAGGCGCGGGGCCAGGCGGCCCGGTGGGAGGCGACAGGGGGCCACTGGCCTTCTTCTCCGGGCCCCTCTCTGGCTCCCTGTGGAAGCAGGCGGGATAAGCACTGAGGCCGCAGGTAGGAACCGGCGCGGGCGCCCCGGCCGCCCCACACTGCCATCGGTCGGCTGCGGGACGTCCCTCAGACCCACGGGCACCCCCGGGGCAGGGAAGGGCTAGCTCCCCGGCCTGGAGCTGGGGGCACGGCTGACACGCACATGGCGTCGCAGACACAGTACGGGCTGAACCTCACGGCCCCATCCTTGCTGGGCAGGCCGAGGCGGTGCAGCGAGTCGGCCCTCAGCAACAGCAGGAAATCGAAGGCCTGTGGGGAGAAAGCGAGGTCCAGCGAAGCAGGGCCAACGCCGGGCCAACGCCGGGCCCGTCCACTCACACGCCAGCCTCTCTGGGAAAGGCCGTGCCCGCTAACAGCACACACATCCCAACTGCTCCGCGTCCGCAGCAGCGCGGGTGGTACCACACGGCCGTTCCCGGCCTCCTCCCGCAGCGCCCAGGGCCTGCCCCCAGGACACAGGGACAGCACGGCCCGCACTCTGACCGGGCAGCGCCCCGCACCCCCGAGTGCCGGAAAACACAGCTGTGCTCAGGCCACCGGCACATCCTCCAATGAACGACAGGTCACTTAACCACGCTGCACAAATGACGGACGGCTGCCCCACCGCGCAGAGGCTCAGGAAGGGACCAAGACTTCCGTCCCAGTGACCTCCGCTCAGCCTGGTGCCAACGTCTACAATGGCAGCCGCGAGCCATGTGCTCTGCCCCGGGTGGCCTCGCCCCGCCACCGACAGACCGCGGCCCCAGGGCTGACAGGGCTGTGTCGCCTGAAAGCGATGGAATCCCATCTCCGCCCACGCCCGGGGCCACCGCCTGGCTCAGCCCGGCACGCAGAGGCCCACGGACACAGACAAGGGGAAGGGCAGCAGGTCCTGGCAAGGCTGCAGCCACAGCCGGTGCAGAGGACGGAATAGTCTGCAGGAGACCCCTCCTGGGCCCCCTGCCACCTCCCAGCCTGGGGTCCCTGCAGGCACTACCAGGCCCCCAGGAAGCTGGCCATGGCCAGCCATGAGCGGCAGCGGGGGCGCCCAGAGCCGCGGACGGCCACCGGCCCCGTCATACCTGCAGCCGGATGCTGCTTGCGATGGGCAGGGCATAGTCATGCCTGTAGTGCAGCTCCATGTGGCTGACGAGCGTCTCATACACACGCACCGCGTGGCTGGCAGGCAAGGCGTACAGCTTGGTCTGCAGAGAGAGCATGCCAGTCACTTCGAGGGCAGGAGGCTGAAAGACAGCCAGGGAGCCAGCGCCCCGGTGCCCAGGAGGAGAGGAACAGGACGAGCTCTCCGGAGTGACCGGACAACACACAAAGCCTTGAGGCTGCTAACTCTGCTCCCGGGACTTTATCCCGTGGACGCTCCCACATGTGCACACTGTTACGGCAAAAAATCAAAAACAACATGTTCGTGTCAGCAGCAGGGAATCCACTAATAAATCTCTGCAACATGTGCAACGGGGACCCGTGAGCCGAAAGCACATTCTCCTGCCACCTGCAGAGCAGGACAGACCAGGGGTGAGCGAGGCCCCACGGGCTCCAGGGCGTGATCCAGGCCTGTCATCCCCACAGCGAGCCCCCTCCCTGACAGGTGAGCCCAGGAGAGGCCAGGTAAGACCTTGGCGTGGGGGGCGCCGCAGGGTGGCATGGGCTGGCCAGGAGCTGGGGGTCCAGCCGCAGCCAGAGCGACCCCTCCATGGCTTGTGGTACTCTTGAGGAGAGCAGCGGGGCCTTAAAACATAGATCATTGGTGTTCTTGTTCAAGAAAAATTAACAAAAAAAAGAGAGGGGGTGGTGGGAGTTGGACACAATGCTCAGGCCTATTCAGAAAGCACCGCAGGGACAGCTACAGCCGGGCTTGCCTGTTCTGGCAGGAAAGACAAATGCAGTCTAAGTCTTCGCTATGTTCACGCTACTTGTGTGTTTCACGCGGATGCAGATTACTTTTTAAACAAGAACCGCCTGACCCAGGACTTCGCCTCAGCTAGCCAACAGCGTGGTACTGTGGCCCCCGGTCTGCAGGGCTGGAGTTCCAAGTGAGGGCAACGGACCACCTTCCCAGCTTCTCAGAGGCAGGAGTCTGGGCTCGCTCAGGCCAGCGCACTCCCTCACCCACCAGAGGTCTAAAGAGCGCCGGGTTCCCGTGACAGGAGGCCACGGAGGTGACGGAAGGCCACGGAGGTGCCAGCCAGCTTTCTGCAGACACTTCAAACTTCTGCACCAGGAAATAACCATCCCGTGTAAGCGTTAGGAGACACTGTGTGAAAGAGAAGCATTTGAGGCCAGTGGTTCAAATACTACATTTTACGTAATACTGATGCTGGCCTGTGAGCTTGAGTGACGCTGTGACGCAGAGAGTCAGTGACAGGCCTGGCGGCCAGCAGCAGAGCCCAGGTGGGGGCCGGCCGGGGGCATGAAGGGGCCCAGGCGGGCCTGGGAGCACGGGAGGCCGGCCGCGGTGCAGGGAGGCAAGCGCCAACCCCTGACAACAAACTCGACACACAAAGTCCTCTCACAACTCAGTAAAAAAACAAATGATCCCGTTAAAAAATGAGAAGATCCGAACAGACGTTTCCCAAAGAAGACATACAAATGGCCAACAGGCACCAGAGGGGCATGCGGACCAGACCTCAGGGAGCAGCACTTTACACACAGCGGCCTGGCTACGCTCCAGAGAAGCACAAGATCCGCGTGCTGGGGAGGACGTGGGGAAGGGCAGCCTTGCGCACTGCTCCCGGAGATGGAGCGGCCCCTGTGGAAGACAGTCCGGCCGCTCCTCGAATGATTACGCCCAGGGTCGCCATCCGAGCCGGCAAGTCCACTCGCAGGCGTGCACCCAAGAGAAGTGAAAACCCATGTCCACACACTGGCGCACGGACGTTCACCGTGGTGGGATTCACAGTGGCCCAAAGGTGGAGCCACCCAGTGTCCGTCAGCACAGGAACCGATAAGCAAAGACGGCAAATCCACACGAGGGACGACGAGCCATCCGAGCGAAGCACTGAGCCCTGCTACCAGCCAGGTGAGCCTTGAGACACTCAGAGCACACACTGCACAAGTCCATCATTATAAAACGTCTGGAGCAGGAAGATCCACAAGACACACAGTGGACTGGTGGTTGCCAGGGGCCAGGGTGCCGAGGGGGAATGGGGAGGGACTGCTAATGGGTGTGGAGTCCCTTCTGGGGAATGAAGACGTTCTAAAGTTGCAGTGATGCAGCGATGGCCACACAAGTCTGTGGAGATACTGGAAAATCCACTGGATTACACGCTTGAAGTGCATCAATTCTCTGGTACGTGAACTGTATCTCTCAACAAAGCTACTAAAATCATCCCGCAACCACAGGGCCAAAACAGACAGCAGGCCTCCCCACCTCGGCAGCGGTGGTGAGAGCTGGCAGTGGGGGGTGGGGGTGGGGGGCAGCCCTAGCTTGGGGGCATCTCTGCAAAGACTGGCCCTGCAGCCCTCACGAGCCCCCATGCTGGGACAAGGAGTCCGGGTCACACCGGGCTGCCATCTGCGACCCCCAGGGACTGCCCTGGTCTCCCCAGAGACGTGTCCCTGCAGAGCAGCATTCCAAGGGGCGCCTGGTTGGGGCGCCCTCCCAGAAGAGCAGAGGCCCACCTGAAGGATGACCAGGAGCCCCAAGACGGCGGTCTTCACATCCTCTAAGGAGGCTGAGTACGCCGCCACATCTCTCTCCTCCAGCTCAGGGGGTGGAGAAAGGGAGCGGGCAATCACCTTTAGAGAGAAAATGTGGATTCAGCTCCCTGGCTCGGGGCTCCCTCCAGCGGCACCGGTCAGACCCAATACTTTCTCCTTTATTTCTCAAAAGCTGCATTTTACACACCTGAGGGACCGTTCAGAAAGCGCGTATTTCACAGTTAAGAGAAGAACACGCTAGTTATGCAGAAGGACAATGCGCCCAAGCCCCAGTGCCCAGCCCAGCTCCCGTGGGGCACGGCCACAGGTGTCTCCCAGGACCCGCCCCAGTGCCAGCCCGGCCACATCCCTGCTGGGAGGGGAGCCCTGCCTGAGACACAGCCCATCGCTCTGCGGAGAATGGGGACAGGAGGTCCAGGGGCCAGTGCTGCTGCGGGGCTTGGCCATAAACTGGGGCCCCTCTGGCAGCCCAGGTACCCAGAGCCCCGGGCTCGAGCGGCCCTCACCTTTTCCACAATGTCCAGCAGGCTGTTGAAGTGGTGGGTATGACAGCCTTCGGCCAGGTCCACCAGCAACTGGGTGGCCAGTTTCCGGACTTGGGGGTCTTTGTCCTCGGGGACGTGGGAGAGCTGGGAGATGACCACTGAGCTGATCAGCTCCTCCTGTGGCAGCACAAGCCGGGGGAGGGGGGGTGAGTCACGTGGGGCAGGGATGTGGCAGCACCTGAGGGGCGCTCTGCACAGCCCCTCAGGGGCCCAGGCCCACAGGCCCGATGCACCAACGAGTGTCCTGGCTAGCTGCTGTCCATTCAATGTCACAGCAGTGGGCCCCCATGTGCGTGCGCCTGGGGTAGGAAGACCCTGTCCCTGACATCACAGGGTCCACTGTGATGGGCAGTGTGACGACAGCTTTCAGAGGCAGGTACAAAGCACCACAGCAGCAGAGAGCAGGACAAGACCGACCCTGACATGAGGAAACTGAGAACCCAGAGGGGCTTCCTGGAAGAGGCAGCACTGAACTGGACTCCAAGGGACAGAGATACAGGAAAAAGGAAGGCTAAGAGGGAAGGAGTGGGCAGACCAGTGCTGGCAACACCAGAAATGCTGGTGAGGCTGCCCTGAAGCCACACAGTGCCTGAAGTGCAGCTCCTAGGGGAACGGGCATGCGAGCAAGGGGCATGCAAACGTGTCTGAAGGATGCACTCTAGCCACAGACCAAATAAAGGACAGACCGGAGGGAAAGAACCAACAGTAGAGAGGAAGGCAAGACATGGAACCACAGTGGTCGGGCTGGGACTAGAGAGTGTGAGCACAAAAACGAAAAGAAAACTTCCCTACAGGAGACTCTGCTCAGAACTTTTGTTCTAGGTCCCGAGCAGGCCCACGATCCCTGAGGGCAGCCCCGCGACTCTAGGCCCAGCATACACCTGGCGGGAGGCAGGAATGAACATCCAAGTGCGCAAACAGGGGGTGAACCAAGCCTATTAAGAGAGCCTGCCACAGAAAGGCACCTGTTGGACCCCAAGTCCAGGGCAGACCCAGGAGGCTCACAGAGACCCCACCCCTCGAGCCCACTGACCCCAGGGCATGCCCCCCCCCACACCCCCCAGCAGGACTCGCACCTCATAGAACTGCCTGTTGATGAGCAGCACGAAGGACAGGACATCCAGCACCTTGATGCGAACGGCACTGCGGGATTCATTCCTGGGGGCAGGGCACACCTGCTGGGGCCGGGGTAGGGGGCACCAGGTCCCAGCTCACCCTGCACCCTGCGCCCCAGGCCCACACGCCTCTGCGGCAGGGGAGAGCCACTGCGGACTCCGCCCTCATGGGGCCTGGCTTGCCAACATCCAGACCAAACACGGGGCGACGGGGCAGAGCGCTCAGCCCCCAGAGCAGCATCTTTCTAGACGACCACTCCACAGGAGCAAGCACACGCAGGTGCCTCAGAGGACTCTGTCCTACCGGAAGACCAACCTGCTCCCACTCCTTCCAAGAATGAGAAAGGAAAACCCTGACCGGACCGAGCCTGGGCTCCAGGGGGCAGGCTGGCCCCCGAAGGCTCCCTACCTGAAGAATCTCTCCATCAGCAACTGCAGGTTGTGAATCCAGCCGTCCTTCGCCGGATGGATTGACTGCGCCCTGTAGGTTATTAAGTTTAAGAGGGAGGACTCCTGTGGAAGAAAAAGCCTGGCGTTAATGAGCTGCTCTGCCCCGAGGAGGTTTTCCTACACTCATGGCCGGCAGGGCTGCTAGCCCCGGGGGGGGGGGGGGTTCTGCTTACAAATGCCAGCCACTTCCCCAGGTGGGCAGTCCACACAACAAAGGCGCTAATAGCGGTGAGAATTCACTTAAAGACCCACACAAGAGCCTTGGCATCAGGCTGTGGGTTTCTGGCACGAGCGCTTCCTGCTGCCCGGTGTGCAGACGCACCAAGCAACAAGTCTCCACGGAGCCGGCCAGCACCTTCCTCCGCACAGGTGGGAGGAAGCCGACGGTTCAGCTAACGCCTGTCTGACCGTCCCACATGCAGTCAGTCTGCTGACGCCCCAGCAGACTTCCTGGGAAAGCAGGAGCCTGCCGGCCAGCCCTTCAATCCAAACTCACACAGAGCCATTTCAGCCGCGGCGTCCCACCGCTCCCCCAGCAGCCAACCCTCAACCACCCTCTTGCGCGAGCGCCAAAGGCCCCGCCAAGTTGGGGGAGAAGCGATCTTACAGGCCTCTGGTCTGCGCATCGCTCAACGAGCTCAAAGTATCTCTCCTGAGAGCCGTGGAACTCGTTCTGGTCACACAGCTCTTCCACTGTGGTCAGCAGGTCGTGGACGATGGCTCTGAGCTCCGGGCTGTCCAGGCTCTGCAACACAAAGGTGCAGTCACAGAGGGGTGACTTCAGCTCCCCTCAAGGACTCGGCCTGAGTCCTGAGCTCCAGCGAGCTGCATGCAGACACCCCTCAGGCCTTCCCGCTGGGACATGGGGCAGCCGGGCCCTTCTCGCTCATTTGGGAAGTGAGGGCCCCAGGGAGTCCTGCTTTGCCCATCCAGCAGGCCTTAAAGGGATCGACTCCGAGGATGTTCACGTGTCCCTAAGGCTCAAACATCTCCTAGAGGCCCCAGTGCTGTGGCCTCCCAACCTGCCACTCCAGAGTGAAGCAGGGCCTGGCTAGCTGGTGGGTGACAGCGGTCGGTCCAGCAGCCAGACCCTGAGGAACGACAGTGCAGTCCTCAGTCCACTAGCCTGGCCACGCACATCCCCAAGCACGGGCCCCGGTCCCTGGGCCCCGCCCCCCACCCCGCCCCCGGGGGAGACCCTGCCCCGCTCCCCAGGGAGGCCCCTGGGGAGACCCCCGCCCCAAGCCCATGCTAGACACTGCAGTCCCCGCACTGCACCATGTCCTCCCCTCCCCGCCCCGCTAGTACTTCAGCCAAAGTTGCGGCAAAGTGGGAGCCATCCCATTACCCTTCTGGCCTCAAGTGACACCAGACCCACCCCCCGCCCACCTGCGTTCCCAAAGCGCAGAGCAGCGTCAAAGCCAGCATCTTCAGCAGGTGAGAGTGCAAGGAGCTGTCCGAGCACGTGGCGGGGCAGGCACAGAGGGAGAGCGCTCCTCATCGGGAGATAAGCCGCAGGCCCCCAGCCGCCCCGGCAAGGGCCCCATGGCCTGCCAGCCCACCGTCCCAGTCCCCCCCACCCCCCGGTGCCCACGGCCTTCTGGCCGCCTCACCTGGAGCTGCTGAAGCAGGCGCTCCATGATGTTCAGCAGGATGTCCCACGCCACAGCCTGGAGCTCCCTCCGGTACTTCTTGATGAGTCTGGTTATAGAGAGGACGATTTCGTAGGACACCACCTCGTTTGGACAGGTCATGGCCTGGAACAAGAGACCCAGGGAACACAGAGTGGTCAGCCGTTTCCCGCTCCTGCCTGGCAAGCCCCCCATCCCATGGCCCTCAGGACCACCTCTCCCGGACCTGCTCCCCACACATCTCTCACGGGCCACAGAAGAAGTCTCTCAGGAGCCCAGAAACAGTCTTTCTACCCTGGCTCCAAAGGGCTGGACTCAGCCAGACCACTCGCTGCCGATCCTGGGCCACTGGCTCACCAGCCTAGAGACCCAGAGTGCTACCCCTGCAAACCGAGGGCAAAGACCACGCCCTCCACCGCCCGAGAAGTGGGTCGCGGCAGGAGGGACGAGGCTCGGGACACTGTGCAGCACCGGGCACCCGGGCCCGGCTCACAGGGCGCCCTGCCCACGCGTGAGAACGTGCACAGCAAGTGCCCTGAACGCCGGCGGGCACCACGGACACAGAAGCTACATCTCGGGCCTCTCTCTAGAGCAAGAGCAAGACCAGCGCTTGCCGAGATAAAACCGCCACCTCGGGGAGTCTGAAGCAGTTCTGATGCTGATCTACACGAGGTGAAACCCGTAAGACAGAACCTTACTTAAAAATAAAACCCTCGGGGCACCTGGGTGGCTCAGT